ACGGACAGTTTGGTGCCAGCTCCTGCAAACTATCGAGAGAGAGGGCACGAGGCCGGTAACTGGGGCGTAGAAGATCTGCAGTCCAGTCGCTTTGATCTCTTCAACTGTTTTGTTTTACTTAATCAGCACTTGGGCAGCCTGTGAGTTGTGCATTTATATACCAATTTCTACTGGTTTTCGCGTTGCCCACAATTAAGTGTGAAGAATATACGCGAAGAAAAGTTTGGTTTCGAGGAATCTCTTGTTTCACAATTGTTGAGCTTACTTCCATTTCGAGTGAAAGTGTGCGGTGAAGAGATTCGAAGGTCGTTTGCACCAGAAGACGACGGCAGATTCCTCTTGACCAGCTGACGCTGTTTCCGAGGTAATCTCCTTCGAATCCGGTGAAAAGGTGTAAAGCTTTCGTCCGTCGCATGAGGAAAATTATCAGAGCGAGGTACCATCGTCACAATAAAATTCGAGTCAAGAAAACTCGAGTTAGCTTGAATTTTGTTGTGAAGATGATAACTCGCTCTGATGATGTTCGTCATGCGACGGACGAAAGCTTAGCATCTTTTCACCTGAATCGAAGGAGATTGCTGGTCAAAAGGAATCCACCGTCGTCTTCTGGTGCAACCGACCTTCGAATCTCTTCACCGTACACTTTCACTCGAAATAGAAGTACGCTCAACAAGTGTGAAGAGATGGCCTGACTTTGATAGTCCGAGAGCCCCTCCACATGCAACTGGTCTAGAGCAAGCGATCTCCTGATTGGACCCATACACTCGGGTTTCCTTATTAATCTCTCCTCCAAACATGCATACAAAGTTAAAATAGAAGTTATGAAATCCATGTTAATAAGGAATATGCGTCTACCAGACGTGGACCACAGGGACCAGGAGATCGGTAGATTGAGTCATATATTGTTTTAAAATAATTACCCATTATGATGAGTAGATAAATACATTTCAATTGTCAACAAAAAGATGATGGGAAATTGTTATCTGGGGCGGGATAGACAGTTACTGATTTTGTCTTCGTGTCGGCTCGCGAAAAAGTTGGGTGATCTACCGATAAAGTGGAACATCAGAACAATGTATGCAGAGAAGTTAACACTTAATTCAGTAGTTCCTTTAATAAGGAATTTTCGGATCATCTTTCTAGATCAGATTTCTAAAAAGCTTTGTGTTCGTGTGGTAATGTCCACGTGGGGCAGACGTGTCGACCCAACCAAAAGCGACTATGTTGACACGAAACCACTTGTAAATGTCTATGCGTCCAAAGGTCTGACCTCACTGAACACATACCTAAAACATGAGACTCGATGTTTCCTTTATAAGTAGACTTTCGAGACTATCAGCAGATCATTTACATTGTAAGTGCATTCGCCATATTACGTGTGAGTTGATAAGGGGACTAGTAGTTAAATTTTCCACCCAATCATTTCTATTGAATTTTTCATAGCTTTGCTTTCCCAAAAGGTATTCTCCTCCAGTGTAGACTGCAGTTTCGACCTTGCATGGGTCTTAGCAACATCCACAGCGGGACTCTAACCCTAAAACAAAACATAAGCAACGTATGATTTGTGTTCACCGTATTTCGTTTAAGGTGATAAGTGGTATTTGATTTTCCCACAATGATATGAGTATAGCCGACGTTTTCATTGAATTTCACATAGCTTTGTCTTCCAAAAGGTATTATCCTCCAGTTAGTACTGCAGTTT